CCCCCAAAACCCCAAAACCCCAAAACCCCTTTTTATTAATAATTGTTAAAAATGGAGGGCCTCAACAAAAAGATGGAAAATAACCCTATTTATATCTTGATAGATGAGCTCAAGTCTTCTGAAATCGAGAGGAAAAAGGAATCTATCAGAAACATTGCGACTTTAGCTATTGTCCTTGGGCCTGATAATACAAGAAATGAACTCCTGAGTAACATTACTGAACTTATTGAGGAAAAGGAAGTGTTGATGGAATTTCTCAAAAAGAGTATTTTTAAAGATCTCCTGCACTTTATTGGAGGTGCTAAGCATGTTAAATGTATTTTTGATATTCTCCAAAACCTTTCAACAAGAGAAGATGAAGAGACAAGAGCAGCTGCACTGGAAATCTTTAAATTTATAATTGAAGAAGCCAAGCCAAAGACAGTCCAAGACGATATTTTAGAAATATCTATAGATTTGCTTCAAGGAGAGTGGTACACCAGTAAAATGAGTGGCCTTGAGATAGCTCTTTTCATGATCGGTAAAGATATCCGAGAGAATACTAAAAGGAAATTGATCAAACAAATTGTGGAAACTGCTACTGATATTGTATATCCTGTAAGGAAAGCAGTAGCTGTCTCTCTTCCAAAGATAATCGAACTTATTCCAATATTCCCTCAAGAGTCAGTGAAAAGTATGGTAAAGGAACTTATCACAGATGTGGCTGAAGTTGTTAAAACAAGTTCTCTAGAAGGAGCTCTTCTCTTCATTGAAAAAGTTCGTGATGATGAAGACACCCTTGTCTCTCTATTCCCATACTTCCTTGATGGGTACACAGATAGCTTTTTCATGGTCAGGAAGTTATTTATAGAACAGACGAAGAGAATTATAAATCTGTTTGGTGGTATTAGAATAACTAGACACCAGGTAATTTTACCAAAAATATTTTCTAGATCGAAAACCCAACATATGAACAAGATAATAAAGCAGAAAATGAGGGCTCTAAAGCTATCTCTCAAGATGTAGAGTCAGACTCAATTGTTGATGTGAAAAAGGAAATTTGAGACACTTTAAAAGGTCTTTTAGATAATGATTTAAATAAAATAACCAAGAAAGCTATTGCAGGAATAATTTTTGAGATGTGAAATGAGCCCCATCCTAAAGAAGAAGCTGAATTGTATCTTGATATTGCTAGCAAGCTATTTGAAATCCTCAAAGTGACATTAGAATCCGATGGACTCAGAAACTCTGAGGATAGGTCATTTGCAATGATTTTGCTTTCAAATCTCCCAAATTTATCTAAAATCACAGAGGTCATGAAATTCAAATAAATCAATTTTAGACTCTTGCACCGAAATCCTAGAAATCAGCGATTGGAGAGAAAAATCTAGGTTCCTTCAAGAGCTACCAAAGATCGCAGAGATAATCGGGATGCAAGAGTTTACTGATGTGTTTCTGGAAATTCTCAAAGAAAGTCTCTCTGATCGAATCTATATAGTTAGGCAACAAGCAATAGCTGTCGTGAATAGACTAACCTCTACATTTGGGGTTGAGTGGTTTATCAAATTTGTAATATTCTACCTATATGCGTTCAAATCAGATAAAAACTATTTGCATCGTCAGACCCCTTTATTCTGACTCAAAATTATGAGTCATAATCTTGTTCAGTAATTATTTAGCTTAATCATAGGTACTATAGCAGCATCTTAGTCGATGAAAAAGAAAGAGCAAAAGAGATTGAAGCGATGATTGATTTTCTATGTGAAAATTGTCAAGATAAAGTCGCTAATATTAGGTATCTCGCTATTGAAACTCTGGATAAATATCAAATCGTTCTAAATAGGGATCAAGCCCTCAATTTGAAGGTAATAAAGCAGATCCGTAAAGTTTTTAAGGCTGAGAAAGATGCAGAGGTCAAGGAACGGATCAAGTCCTTGCATAAAACTTTGAAGACATTCAAAAGTTAGACCATATTTCAATATTGAATTATCCATGAGGGGTTTTGGGGTTTTGGGGTTTTGGGG